TGCTATACGAAGTTATTACGGTTGTGATTCCGTTGCCGGTCCCCAGTATGGGCGCGACACCGAGGGTTGCGATCCCGTTACCGGTCAGTAAAAAAGGAAAAAAACAAACAAACAAACAAAAAAAACCCCAAAACAAACAGAATATCCTTATCTGGATGACTCCTCATCAGCTGAAATGTATATATTAAAAAATCAACATCTACCTGCCCCATGCTGTCCAATAATCACAGTGACTGCTGACACTCCTGTCATGCTTGGAATCCAACAAAGCCCATTTATACATATTCTCATTTATTTCTCTCAACTATTTCATCAGTTACAGCCAGGTCAGGAATTACAATCCTGTCATATGGTTTGTAAAGAGCAAAGTTATTCCTGGTGGGTGTGCCTTTCAGTCTCTCATCTGAGTAGTGCCAAAAGGGCTCATTTATCTTCTTTAGATAAACTTAACATGGAATCCCACACCCTGCCCTGCTAATAGGAAATTCAGCCAGTCATTCCTGGGGCTCCCTTCCCAAAGCCTTGCCAAGAAAACTTACTATAACATTTGATTTGATCCTTTTAGTTCTAGCAGTTTGGGTCCATGCCTGGTGAACGGGAAATCACCACTGAGTGTGGGAAACACAGCTTTTCCCTTCTATGGTCCTATCACCAACCTGGGAACTACCCATAGAAAGATGTGGGCCCCAGGAGGTTTTGTAAGCCCAGGTCTTTATTTCCTCCAAGGTCATCCAAAATTTCTCTTCTGTTTTATCCTCAGTCACATTTTCTCTCTTTTCACCATCCAGGATACATCAATTTCCTTAGTGACCTGAACTTTAGAAACAAAACTAGGAAGAAAATATCTTGCAGACAACTCTTCTTGACAGCCTTCCACGTACTCCCTTGAGGCAATGGAGCTCAGAGTCGAATATTTGCTTAAGAATATTTACCAGAGAGAAACAGATAAGTTAATATAAAAATTCTTCTGAGGCATGGCTCACACCTACTGAGAGGATGGCTCTATGAGGATTCTTTGATTTTCTCTCTCTTCCAATTAAACTTTCTTTCCTGACATGACAAACATGTAATTTTGAATTCTTACAGAATATCCTTATCTGGATGACTCCTCATCAGCTGAAATGTATATATTAAAAAATCAACATCTACCTGTCCCATGCTGTCCAATAATCACAGTGACTGCTGACACTCCTGTCATGCTTGGAATCCAACAAAGCCCATTTATACATATTCTCATTTATTTCTCTCAACTATTTCACCAGTTACAGCCAGGTCAGGAATCACAATCCTGTCATATGGTTTGTAAAGAGCAAAGTTATTCCTGGTGGGTGTGCCTTTCAGTCCCTCATCTGAGTAGTGCCAAAAGGGCTCATTTATTTTCTTTAGATAAACTTAACATGGAATCCCATACCCTGCTCTGCTAATGGGAAATTCAGCCAGTCATTCCTGGGGCTCCCTTCCCAAAGCCTTGCCAAGAAAACTTACTATCACATTCGATTTGATCCTTTTAGTTCTAGCAGTTTGGGGCCATGCCTGGTGAATGGGAAATCACCACTGAGTGTGGGAAACACAGCTTTTCCCTTCTATGGTCCTACCACCAACCTGGGAACTACCCATAGAAAGATGTGGG